GTGCAGTATAGCACTGATGAAACATACAACGTTCCTCTAGTTCTTTAATGCTTCCCCCACCCTCCCAATCATGACCCCAGTTCTACCTTACAAATCCAGCTAGACCTTAGCATGTACACTGGTACAGATAAGAGCTCTCAACACACAGAATCTTGGACAGATAAGCCTCTCAGGACCAATAATGGGAGTGGCGATTCCATGAGGGTAGGGGGAAGGAGGCGGAAGAAAGGGGGAACTGATACAATGATCAATGCATAACCACCACCTCCCGGAGCGGGAGGGGAACGAACAACAGAAACATTGGTGAAGGGAGACAGTGGTGTAAGATATGAAAATAGTAATAATTTATAAATTATCAAGGGCTCATGAGGGAGAGAGGGTAGGAGAGGGAGGGGAAAAAAAGGGGAGCTGATACCAAGGGCTCAAGTAGAGAGAAAATGTTTTGAAAAGGATGAGGGCCAACATATGCACAAATGTGCTTGATACAATGGATCAATGGAGTGTCATAAGAACTGTATTAGCCCCCAATGAAATGATTAACAAAAAAGAAAAGTTCACTTCTTCCTCAAAGTGTGGAAGGAGAAAATACACAATAAGGAAAACCAGTGTGTGCTTCGACTCCATATCCTACTGGAATATTCTTATTAAATGTCATTTTTAAATCGTCTTAAAAAATATCCATCTTTAAAAATCACTGAAATCAGTGATTTATATAAAGTATATTCTCTGTGCATTGGCCATATGCTTCATATAACATTATCTAAGAAGTTACTTAATGTGAGGGTCGAGCTAAGTTGAAAACAATAGTGGCCGATGCAAGAGTGACTAAGCATATGAAGAAACATCACTAGTTTGCCAGGAACAGAAAAAGACTCATTGGATTACTTTGGTTTACTCTGTCTCTTCTGTAGGACTGAATTAAACTTTAGATCTATTTTCTCTTCAATAGGAAACTGAGAAAATGAGATCACTTCTGAAGCCTGGGAATATAAGGTTGTGGAGGATAATTGCTCATCAATTTTGACTTTCACTAATATCAGAGACCAGCCCCTGGAGAAAGACATCGTGCTTGGTAAAGTAGAGGGGCAGCAAACAGACGAAGGCCCTCCACAAGAGGGTTTGACACCGCGGCTGCACCGTGGGCTGGGCTCAAACAGAAGAGCAATTGTGAGGGTGGCACAGGTTGGTGCAGTGCGTTGTTCTGTTGTACCTGGGTCGCTGTGGGTCGAAAGCAACCTAACAACAACCGAACCATGTACAGTCTAAGCGCAATTTAGTACCACTTCAACCCAATGAACGGTCTAAGTTATAACCCTTAGGCCATCCAGTTTGAATGCATCAGCTAAATTATTTCTCCATTTATGTCCAAATAACTAGTTGTTAAAAACAGCAAGATACATATATATGTTTAATGTTTCCCCTTAGTCCTGAATTCAGTGTTTAACAAAAGGCTCTAGAGCCAGGCCTCTGCCCTTCAAGTTGGAGGAAGAAAGAAGAGAAAGATGAGCCGGCGAAGTGCCTTATCTCCCAGCTATGTCTGAGTAAAGATGGTGAATCCTATTTCAATTTTCTTAACCACAGAGATTATGGCTTTGCTCTTAGGAAGCTGAAAAGAAAATGGGCTAGATGACCATAACATTTAAGACTATATCAAAGATACTATATAAGAATATAAGGAAAATGGATTAGAATGCTTTCGTTATTTGTTAGAACATGTTCAAGTTTAGAGAGTTGAAATGCAGTAATACGAAAGGCACTAGGCATGATCTCTGGAATGAAATCCCTGTCAGTAATATTATTTTCTCAACCTACAAGGGGACCTCAAAGAGTTCATGGAAAAATCTTTATATTCCATTTCCCTATGAACCTTCTGAAGCCCTAATATGCCAGAAGACCAAATAAATACATTGTGTACAAAAATATCAGTAATAGAGAGGAAAGGTAAGGTTCAACTCCATCAAATATGACTGGTTTTAAGTGTAATATCATGTAAAAATATGTACGTATAAAATATATATTTGGGAAGTATCAGATTTTATTCTTATCCTCTAGTGGAAGTTGTAAGGAGCCGTGGGGTAGTCGTTATGCATTGGGCTGCGATCCACAAAGTCTGAAGTTTAGGACCACCAGCCACTCCTTGAGAGGACAATTGGGCTCTCTACTCCCATAAAGAGCTGCAGTCTCAGAAACACAGGGTGGTGGTGGTAGCAGCTCTCCCTGTCTTATAGGGTCCCCATAAGTTGACATCGATTAGATGGCAGAGCATTTGGTTTGGTTTTTGAAGAAGATATGAGTCAAAATTCCCATAAATAGTAGGGGTGGTACAGTGAATTCATTAATATGGCTTTTTCTAGCTAGGTCTTTGTAACTCCCACCAATCAACTGAGTGGGGCCGTGCAGATTGGGTGTGTTTCCTCTTTTTCTGATGGGTCTGGGTAAGAGGAGGTGGGGAAAACACTGACAGGATTATATGTTCAATTATTATAAGTGATTAGAGGGTTAATTATGATGTAAAAAACTTGACACTCTAAAGAGGAGATTGGTCATTTTTGCCATCCTGCTAGGTATAAATTAGCCAGTTGGCAGTAGAGCTCTCACAAGAGAGAAGCAGCAGGAATAGAGCGTGTTATTTGGACCCTGAGATCCCAGCCTGCAGGCCCTCCTTGACCCAGCAGACCCAACTGTGACACCAGAGCAGCAGCAGAGCCAGGAGCACAAGACACAGCTGCCCGGGCACGCAGTGCGCTCAGCTGGGCCCCTCAGGCAGGAGGCCCGTGTACGGAGTGCAGTGTGTCCAGGAACTTACTTGGGGAGCTAGGTTTCTGACGCAGAGAGTTAAAGTGGGAGTGCCTTCTGGCTGAGCCTTATAAAGGAGTGACCTGCCCTCTGGGCACTTACTGCAACACTGAAAGGCTTTGTCATGTTGCCTGAACTGGGACTGCCAACTTTTTTTCTTTATCATGTTTTCTCAAAAATCATTTTATTGGGGAATCGTACAGCTCTTATAACCATACATCCATCCATTGTGTCAAGCTCATTTGTACATTTGTTGCCATCATCATTTTCAAAACATTTTCTTTCTATTTGAGCCCTTGGTATCAGCTCATTTTCCCCCTCCCTCCCCCATCCTCTCTCCCTCATGAACTCTTGATAATTTATAAGTTATTATTATTTTTTCATATCTTACAATGACCAATGTCTCCCTTCACCAACTTTTCTGTTGGCCGTCCCCCTGGGTGGGGGTTATGGGTAGATCATTATGATCGGTTCCCCTTATCTGCCCCCACCTCCCCTTCCCCTCCTGGCATGGCTACTCTCAAGCTTGGTCCTCAGGGGGTTATCTGTCCTGGATTCCCTGTGCTTCCAGCTCTTAGACTGCAAACTTTCAGCTGAGTGAACAGTCACATCTTTCCCCTCTGGCGCACCTGCTGAGTTTGAACTGTGTTTAGTAACCCAGTCCTTCACCCAAAGTGCCACCAGGGCTCCTCATAAATCGTGATGATTAAATGAGATGATGCATGTAAAGAACTAAGTGAATGTCTGACACACACCTAATTTACCCAGTGTCCATAATTATTATTATCTCATTATATCCTTCGAGCCATAAGAGTGTTTGGTTCTGTGTTGTCGGCATCTTAAGTTTCACGTGAAACCTGTTACCACATTGGAAAGCCACCCAGATTTTCCTACCCAAAGTTACCCTAATTGGCTGTGAATCATAAAACATATAATACAATGTTTAACCCCCTACGATCCACTCTCAGGTCATTAGGCTTCAGAAAAACTAGCTTTTGCATATGAAAACATGAAGTTGAAAACCGATCCTTTGGAAGGTCAGTGATGTTTCTTAATTGTTGGCTCTCGGTAATCGTGGAAACCTTAACAAGATAAAAGGTCAAAGAGAGAAGCCAGAGCGAACAAGACAACTTACATGATGAAGATCATTCCCCAGCGCATACTCGGCAAAGTAGCCCGGAGCGGCGGAGGAAGCTCGGATGGCCTGCCACAGTTTATACTGACAGCCTCCCAGGTAGTGTGAGTTGGTCCCGGGGAAGTGCCCGTAGTTGCGGAACACAAATGCTTTGGGCGTGACTCCCTTGTTGACAACGGTGCTCACAGCGGCTACCTAGTGGATCAAAGAGGGAGGGGAGCCCATTATACGACAAGCAGCAATAGCAATGGAAAATGGGTATATTCTATTTCATCAGGAGAATGACCAATGTCCACCTCCGTCCAATCATACAGATGCACAACAGATTACGATGGCGAGCAAAGGAAACCAGACCTTTTTAATAGGTGCTTGTTTATGAGAAAATCTAAGTGCACGCTGAGACAGTATTGAGAAATGTACTTTAAGAGAACACTACTAAAACATGATCGGATTCATTGTTTAAAGCAGGGGTGTCAAACTGGCATCCCGCAGGCCGCATGTGGCCCCCAAGGTCATTTTTTGTGGCCCGCAATGCTCTAAAATAAGATAAAAATAGCAAAAATTGTTCTGAAGAAAATAGTGCTTAGATGAAATCAAAGCAATAATTCCCTTGTTAACCCTTTAACTACTGAAGATGAGTCTGCACGTGGCCCAGTGCCTTTCCTGGGGGCCTGTGGATGTGTATAAACATGATGACTCTGTTCTGGTGACGTTTGGAAGCGATATGTCTGCCACTCTCAGTGTCACGTAATGTAAACAGACCCAATAGTGAAGAGGTTAAAAAGAGCACTCTGGGCTGTGGTATTATGAATCATACCTAGCGGCATCGCTGGTTAACATTTTTAGGGGGAAGCCATTACGATTGTGCATCACGTTTGTCAGTTGTCCAATATTTTGTGCTTTTTATTAGTTACTTTGTTATGTTTTCCAGTCACAACATAAGAGGCAAGTGAAAACTAGTAGGAGGAAAACGCTGGCAAGTTTTGGGTAAAAAAGAATAATTTTAGTTTTCTAAATACATTAAACAAATGTTTAAATAAAAGCAATTATATAGTGTTTTAATTATCCTACCCATATTCCTGAATCCTCACTTCAAAATGTAAATTTAACCTAATTTGTAAGCGTGATGTGCCCTGTGTGCATCTTGCCTGTTGCACCAAATGGCCTTGTTTAAATTGAGTTTGACACCCCTGGTTTAAAGATATTAAAGAAGGCATGCATTTCCACACCTTTATGTAATAATTAATGCATCAGTGTAGCAATGGGTGACTAAACATTATTTACTAAGTGCTATTTGCATGATATCATTTCTAAATTAATGTTTGTCTTTGTGTTCTTGGAAAGCATCAGAACTCATCAGATTGAAACACAGACACTACAAATTCTCAGGGTTTTCGGATCGTGCTGTTATTAGGCGCCAGTGAGTCGGCTCAGACCTATAATGACCCTATGCACAGCAAACGGAAACAATGCACAGTCCTGCGCCATCCTCACAGTTGTGCCTGGGCCTGGTCCCCTGTCACGGCTACCATGTCAATCCGTCTCCTGGAGGGCCTTCCACTTTTCCCTGCCCCTCTACTTTATCAAGTCTGATATCCTTCTCCAGGGACTGCTTTCTCCTGACAATATGTGCGAAGCATGGAAGAAGAAGTCTCGCCATCCTTGCGTCCAAGGAGCACTCTGGCCATTCTTCTTCCAACACAGACGGGTTTGCCCTTTCGCAGTCCGTGGTGCCTTCAATACTCTTCTCCAGCACCACCATTCAAATGCATCCATTCTTCTTCGGTCTTCCTGATCGAATGTCCAACTGTCACATGCACATGAGGCAACTGAGACTATCACGGCTTGGGTCAGGTGCACCTTAGTCCTTACAGCACCATCTTTGCCCTCTGATACTGTGAAGAAGCCCTGGGTAGATGATTTATCCAAAGCAATTACGTCTTTTGTTGCTTCCATGAGCACTGATTGTGGATCCAAGCTAGATCAGTTATTAAAGTGTTGTACCTGGGTAATTTTTATCTTAGAAATTATAATGTGGATTCACTCTTAGCCTTGGATCTTATTGTTATGAGGTGAACTTACGTAAAATGTGCTATGTTTGCTTATATTTACCATGTAAACCTTAAAGGTCAAAGCCGTATCTTATTGCTAAGTCCTGCCAGGGCCCTGCTTGCTTTGCTGTTTACTGAAGCAGAGTCAAATCTCAAATTACTGTGAGCGATCCAACTGTATCGTGAGGCCATTATGGGTAAGAGTTGGCTATACACTGACGTTCGGAGGGCCTTTCAGTTCACTAGTGTATAGAGGCAGCCAGAGTAAGAAACAGACTGGGGGCTACACCACACAACTGCCCCATTCTCCCATTGCTCTTGTCACTCATAAGTTGACAATTCCCTTGAGCAAATAAACAAGAAGTAAACTTGTAAAGTAAACAAATAAACAAGAGGTGTACTGTGTGTCTCCAGGGTTCTTTTCAAAGAGCTACTACATCTTCTGGCCTATAATGCCCTGCATGGCTCCCTTTCCAGGCTCACCTTATGTTGCTTTGGGGCCCTTAGGTTCTAGGCTGGTTAGACAGCCTTGCTTTAGTTCATAGATTATCCAGATCCCTCTCTTATAGGATGTTCTCTTTGCTAGGAACTCATTAGCCTTTATTTTGACATCTCAAACCTCACTTCCTTAGGGAAGCCTCCTTTCAGGCCTCTTTAAGCAAATGCTTGCAGAGAACTGTCTGTGTGCTCCAGGATACATATTTCTGGGAAATGGTATCTCATTTATGTGATTGCTGGTTAATGCTTACCTTCCCCTACTGGACTGTAAACTCCTTATCTAAGTTTGTTCACTAATGTATCTGAAGTGGTGGCACAGTGGATGCATTATTAATATCACAAAATGAATGGAACAATTAATAACTGGTGTGTTCTGGAGGAGCCGTCTTTGTTTGGATTTTCAATGGCTATAGCTTATAATAAGGGAATAAACACAAAGCTGTATGGAATTCCAAGGGATATAAATCCTATTCCTTATTAGAGAATCCATTAGGAGGATAGGAATTAGCTGAATGGCCCTGTGTAACGGCCCAGTAAACATCTGAAAGTCGGCTAAAGGCTGTTTACATTTTCTGGTTCAAATCTAACACTGGGAATGCTTGTAGTACCCAAGCGAATGATGACAAGGGCTAAGAACAAGCCACAAATTGATTTTTAATGCTTAGCTGAGCTAATGCTTCTTATTATAAAAGGAATTTTAAAGGGAGAAGCCTATGAAGAAAATCCCTAGCAACTGAGAAAAGGGCCGCCGAGGAGAGTGTTTGACACAGGGGGGAAAGCTTATGGGTTCCAGGCAAGGGTGGGCTTATAACATAAGTAGGTCCTGTGCCCCCTTCCAGACCACAAGGCTAGTCGTTCACTCCAGTTTCCCCACTCCTTGAAAAGGAGCAGACTCTCCTGGTAACGTAGGAGAAAGGCTCACCTCTAAAACACTACCAACAAAAACTGTAAACTCCTGCTGTGTGAAGTTACTAATATAACACAGGAAGAATGGATCCGAGTGAGAAGAACATGGAATCCAGACACTGAAAGGAACCCAGAGGTGCAGAAGCAAAACTGGTACCTGCCCTAGAAATGGTTCAGAGAAAGTTTCAGAGAACACTGCTTGCAATGAAACATGGATCACTGATGCAGATGAGAATCTTAATCTTCAATTCTTGCAAAACAAAGAAGAAAATGAGAAGAATGCGGGTGTCAAGGACTGCTACTAAGGTTCCAATTCATACACAGATGGCTTTATTCCAGACAAAATGTGATTAAACATGTAGCTGCTACGATCTGCGGGTGGCTAAAGGCAAGTTCTCTCAGTAGTGCGCACATCCAGTATTGCTAACGTGCCTTCCAGGAAAAGGGCCCATCAAAACAGCGGCTTCCCAGGCAGAGAAGTCTTTTCAGAAGGTGATGGCAATTGTTTTTCTTTGTTTGTTTGTTTTGTTATGATTCCAAAGGAGTTAATCTTGGTGGATTTTCTCAAATGACACAGGTGAACAAGGCGGACTATTTGTAAGAAGTTTTAGAACACTGAAAAATGCCCTGGTGAGGAAAAGGCGAGGAAAGTTGAGCCAAGAAGCATTTTTCCATTATGAAATTGCATGACGAGGGCAGTCCTGCGAGAATTTCATTGGAAAATTTACCCCATCCACCTTACTGACCTGGTCTTGCCCCTTCAGACTTCTTTTTGTTCCCCAAATTCAAGAATCATTGAAAAGGAATACATTTGGAATGCCCCCATGATGCCCAAACTACTGCTTAGGCATGATGTAAATCAAACATCAAGGATTCTTCAAGGAAGGGTTCCAGACAAGGGAACAACAAGTGATCCAAAATCGGTGGCAAGGAGGGTGTAAGAGGCCTGGGTAAAGCTTGATCAAGGGCAATGCAACTGAGAGGAATTACTGAAACCCAAATGAAGGCTGAACATGATAGTGGGACAAGAGTAAAGTAAAAGGAAATAGAGGAA